AGGTAATTAGATGACATTTCAGCAGCAGTTTATTGTCTGTCTGGTTGGTTTAGTTAAACAGTGTTTCTGCAGTAAAGACGTTATTTGTCTGTTATGCTAATAAGTGACAGGAACACAATTGATCTGATATTGATCCTAAATCCTTTATTGCCGTTTCTTAGTTCAGGCTTCATTCATCTTCTGCACTCTAACTGTTGTGTGTTTTAATTGTTCATACAAATACATGCAAAAGAAAAATACGACAACATCCCCTTAAAAACCTTCCACTTGGTGTTTTTAGAGCGTTACAGTAGAATCATGTGATGATGCTAAAATGTAGAGAAACAGCCGCACAATGGAGTAAATACAGAACTTTAATAAGGCGAGCACCACAACTGTTGTGTACACGACATGAAGAAACACTGCTGACTCCTGTGTTTTATCATATTTTAAATAGAAAATAAATGTAAACAAACAAACAAACAAACAGTTATTAAAGTGACNTTCAGTCAAAATGGCCTCAGACATGTTGGAGCAAATAATAGAACCGAAGTAGGAAAATCGGTCATAAGTTATAGATTTTAGTCAATGAGCTTTATTTGCTCTATTTATCACTTGATCACACCTTGTATAAATATATTAATCAAGTGTGGAACAGGTATTTCAGGGCGACAACAACACTAACTGTGTTTAGGTACAGTTTTGAGACACTTGTGCTTTGCTTGACTATTTCTTTATTAGGTTAATTTATTGCACTAGTTCAGCCTGACCACACCAAAAACCCTCTGCTTTTTACTCACTGTGGGCTCATTTGCAATACATATGCAATACAAAAATATACATATAATGCCGTTAATCATAAAAAAGACAAAGACAAAAGTGGAATTTCTCAGATTTTTCATGGTACAGAAACTGAAGAAACCTGAAACCAACACATAAAACATTTTTCCAAGTGCCCACAGGTGTTACCTGAAAGCAGGTTCTTTGGTCTGATGAGACCAAAATGGAGCTTTTTGTCCATCAAACTAGATTTTGTGTTTAGTGGACACCAAAAACTGCTCATCAAAAACACTTAGGCCAAAATAGCCTGAGGCAGCTACATGGTATGAATTATGGAGGTGGCATCATGATGTGAAGCACGGTGGTGGCAGCATCATGATGAAGCACGGTGGTGGCAGCATCATGACGTGAAGCACGGTGGTGGCANACATGAAGAAACACTGCTGACTCCTGTGTTTTATCATATTTTAAATAGAAAATAAATGTAAACAAACAAACAAACAAACAGTTATTAAAGTGACTTGTTCCTACCACAACAAAAATACACGGTTAAAGGATAAAATGTCAAATTTACTGGTTCAAATAAACATTTCAGGTTGCAAACGTCACAATAAGGCATCAACTTTAACCTCAAATTTCTGTGTTTAGCTGATTTAAAACTAAATTAATTAAAACTAATAAAAACTAATTAAATTAATGAAACTGGCTTCAAAGCTTCTTTTTTCTTCACCCTGACTTCAGATTTTCAGGTCTTCCTCTGTTTTAACGAACCGGACGATTTCACGTGATTAAGACTGCTAATTAAAAATACTTTTGATTGTAGAGGAAAAGCTGATTCCACTGACTCAGCGCAGTTTGTTGGTTGAATGTAATTTCATTAAAAGTTTTTGTTGTTTGAAAAGAAACTTGCTGTTGAGCCCAAACTTTGTTTTTGAGGTTGTAATTGTTTTAACTTATTTAATTTGGGTTTACAGTTGTGACTCGATAATCCGACACTAAACGTAAAACCTTCTTTAATGTCGGATAGCAAGGCTGTCGGATTGTCAAGACGGAGGTCCAGATACAAGGAGGGCTTGATGCTGGAAGGATCATTAGTTGTTAATATTTATTGTTCATAGTTGTTATAATAACTAGTAGGGCTGTTCCCAATAGAACTTTCTGGTCTCTGGATATTCAGGCCCAGTTAATGATAAATACCCAAACATTTGGTGCACTTCCACCCCGAGGGAACGCTACAACGGGGTGGAAGTGGCCAGAACGCACAGGCAGTACTTGGCTGCTGATGCTAGTTTAGGACAACGGTCACAGTTCTGTTTCCACCACCAGCGTCACCATTATCATCCATGTTTACTTCCATAAACACTGAGCACGCTCGCTGCATGTGACATCCTCGTGTCCACTTCTGCGCATGCACATACAAGTTGCATTTAATTGAAACGTGAACGAACTCGCAAACAAATCGGATTTCACAAAAAAAAATCCTCATTGAGCATCAAGTCCTGCAGTGTGAACGTAGCCAATCTGTGGGATTGTTCAGTCAGATAATACGCCGTCATCCTGATTTGTGACATAAGTGGAGTCAGAATCCAAGGCTGTCGCTATGTTAAGGCTGTTTTTATGGGTTCTGTTGGTTTTTCCTAAAAACCTGTCAGATAGCAGGTTTAGGATTGTTAAGGGTCGATTATCGAGTCACGACTGTATTTGTCTGTTGTTGTTTTATGATTCAATGTGAACTTGACTTTTATCACTGCTGGATTTACCTTTAAATTCATAAAAGAACCAAACAAGTCAAAGTTTTTCTTTTAAAAACCCCATAATCTTGCATCACTGTGTGACTAATCGGGATGTTCATGTAGATTCTACATCCTTGTTGTTAATGTTGTCTGAGGCTCGTGTATTTTAATTCATTCTGCACGTTTAATGAATATAAATGGACGATCTGTGCCTGCAGGATGAATCCTCTCAGCTGTTTCCTCTTTTTTAACCTTCAGTGTTTCTGTGTCAGCAGAAAAAAACAGCTTCGGATGTGTCAGGTGGACTGTGATGCCCTCTAGTGGCGGTGCAATTAGTAACAACGCTGCAGACGTAATTAAAGATTAAACCCCACAGCAGGAGTAACTCATGATTCTACACTTTGAGTCGTGCTTACATGCATGTTATTCACAGTGGCTTTAAAAAGCTGATATTGCTGATTGCAGTGTTTTATAGTGCAGCGTTGGGCAGTTTTTTAAAGATTTAATTATCACAAATAAAACCCAACGATGCCTTCAGGAACACGGTGTTTTCAGTCCATGTGCCGGGAAGATATTTAACCCCGTTTCCTCTGGACATGAGCGAAACCTCAGACCCGCTTCAGCCGTGCAGTTTTGCTTTTATGCTTTCTTCTTTAAAAGGTAAAGCCACATTCATCAGGTGCACAAAGAGCCACGCCCCTTTCTGTGAAAAGCTTCAGGTGAGCACTTTGAATCGATGGCATGTCCGATTCTAAAGGGCCTTTTCAAACCAGAGACGTGGCAACAAAGGAGAGAAATATGACCACAGAAAAATGTGCGCAAAAACCGCCTCGGGGTGCAATAATGTTCCAGCTCAGCGTCACGAAAATCTGCTTTTTGCTTCAGCGTCGGCCTTTCATACAGTAGAATAAAGCATCGCGTGCGTAACAGGAACTTTGAACTAGAAAAGTGAACATTTTAGCTGCTTAATGTCCAAAAACACCTGCAGGATTCAACCTGCGAGCAGCTCCAGAGTCCAGGTTCAGGTCAAAAAGGTGATCGAATATTTGTTAAACCCAAATCTTAAAGCACATTTTTATACACTTACCTCCTCACCTGACAACTCATCCCATGTTTAGATCTTATTGTGTGGTCGTATCTGATTGTTTTTGTTCTTTTATGTTCGTGGTTGTTTTTTTTTGTTATACAGTCAATTGAAAAAGACTAGAAAGGTTCAAATAAAACTGCGATCCTGTTTTTGCAGCTAGCGTTGGATGGACAATCTAACTACAGTCAAGACGGTCAGTTCTGATGGAGGAGGCGGAGGAAGCAGCAGAGGTGAGTCAGCTCATCCCAAAAAAACACAAATAAGCATCAGATCTATAAAGCGTAAATACTAATAACACATTTTATAAAAGCTGGTAGAAAACAGAATGTCACTATAAAGGGGATGATGTGTTTTGTATTTAATGTCTGACTTTTTCTTCGCAGTGGTCACAAAATCAGTGACGTCGACTCGACTGACATCACAAAGTACGTTTTTCTGGTTGTATATGTTTGTAGGTTTGCACACAAATTGGATTATTTCCAATTTTTGGTCATTTGGAGGCAAAAGAAGCTGTTAAAGTAGCTCTCATAATGCAGCATCATCAGCAGTTTGATTGATTCTTTTAGCTCTCGTTTGGTTGGCTTATAATAAATGCTAATGATTGTTTGAACTGGAAAAGCAGAAATAATTAGTAATTTAGTGTCGTATTTAGTGTCGCTACACATCCAGCAGCTATGTAGCAACGTTAGCATTCTTTTTGCATCAAAGTTCTTCTCTATGTTCTCCGATTAAATGATTAAACGCTAAACACTGCATACGTTTACAACTGAACTGAGACATTTTTTCTCCTTAAAAAGTTGTTGCTTTTCCATATCCAGTGGCTGCTTTGCATCGTTAGCATCGATTTTGAGTTGTTTTTCTGGTGACCTAAAAGCCAATTTGTTGACAAGCTAATGTTTGTTTATTTTGTGCAAGTTATAAACACAACATTGTCATTTTTTTGTGGTTGTCTGTGTTGGTTTTAAACATCCAAAGCTACGTAGCATTGTTAGCATTCATTATGAGCGGCATTTTTGGTTACTTACAGGCAAAATGTTCCACTTTGTTTATTATTTTATTGATTTTTTAGCCACTTGGAACAAGTGGAATCAGGCACTAACATATTATTTTTATTTTTCTTCATATAAAGTTGTTGTTTTTACACATACAGCTGCTATGTAGCATCATTAGCTTTCTTTTTTTAGTTGTGCTTCTGGTGACCTAAAAGCTAGATTCTCTGCTGTATTCGTTGCTAATCAATGTCTATGTGCTTTTGTTGCGTATCGAGCTGGTTGGATAGCGTACAGTGGAGCTTTTTGTTATGTGACTGAGAGCAGTGGGGCTGAACCATTAAGGCACAGTTTTTGTCTGTGAGTTCAAACTGTCGGGTCAGATGATAATTATCTTTACTTACACATTTAGTTGGTTGCCTCTGTGACATAATGCAGCTTCAAAGGTAGAGACAGACAGAAAACTGTAGATTTCAGGATGCAGAGGTCTCGATTTTCATCTGGAACATTTAGCATCCGTCTCCTGCAATAATAAAAAAATAAAGTTATAAAAGTGCACATCGATGCAACAACAAGTTTAACTGCATAAAGTTGATCTACAGGAGAGAAAGTACCTGCATGCTTTCTGCACTAATAACCATGATGTTTTTGAGTCTCCTTTACATAAATAAAGACGTTTCTCGTGCAGAAAAAGCTCAAATTGGTGCTTAGAAATTGACGGATGCAGGAAATGAAGTGTCAGATTTTCTCAAAATTTGCCCCCAGAGCTCAGAGGAAACCTGCACCGAGACAGAGAACTAGGGCAATAAGGTCATAGATATTAGTACCATCCTGCTGACAGCTTATCGTTTTTATTAGACACAGAAGATCTTCCCCGAGGGCGGCGCCTGCAGCAGCAATTACAGATCTATATGTTCAGTGTGCAGGTCGTAAATCCATCTCATGTGCAGGAGTGGAGGCTTTAACAGTATAGAACAAAAGGCAGGTTGAGACACAGCAGCAGGGAGGCAGAGAATTACTCAGGAATGTTATTTGATAACAAAAAGTGAAGTGAAGTGACGTGTGATGGGTCAAATATGAACAGTTCTAGTTGTGTCTTGCAGTTGAAAGTGGATCCAGGCGATCCGGTCTGAAGGTTTTTGATAAATTATCATCTGTCTTCTAGAGATGATGACATGAAAAGGACAAAAATTAATAACAGAGTTCAAGAAAGTGTGCATTTTTCTTGTCCTCCAGGTGATTTCTCTGTGAGCGCCGGTGGGTCGGGTGGCAGAGCTGCTGCAGGAGGCTCCAGCAGCTCAGTCCTGCTCACATCCAGCAGCTCCAACGGCACCGCTGGATCCAGCAGGAGCACCGGAGGCCTCAGCATCACCACCGTAGGGGCCTCGTCTGCTGCAGCTGGAGGGGCATCGGGGGCATCGGGGGCCTCCAAGACAGCGGAGAGCTTCACTTCTGCTGGAGGAGGCTCCTATAGCTTTGCCAGCGGTGGCAGCAGTCAGGGGAGACGGGAAGGAGGCCTCGGTGCCGTGACGGTTTCCACGGTGACCAAGTCCAGCTACAGTTCAGGAGGAGGCGGGGAGGCGAAGAGGGGATCATCATCATCATCCTCTGCTGTCACTTATTCACCTGCTCCAAAGGAGAGGAAGAACGTGACCACCATGTCTCTGTCGGAGGTGTTCGACGGTCAGCGATGAGTCGAGGCTCACTTTGTTTTGCGGTTTTAAAAAGTGTCCCCGTTGTGACGAGATCTTTGTTTTGCAGAAAGCTCAAGTCCCAACTCCTCTCCAGAGTACAAGAGGAAGGACTACGGTGAGTTTGACTCGAGCTGCAGGTTAAACTCTGGAACGCTGCGTTCAAACCCAAAGCGACACGAACTGGAATGCTTTTGTTTTGCAGGCAGCTCGAGTGCAACACCGACATTGGCCACTAGAGGGAGAAGTCAGAGCAGAGGTACGCTGACACTTTAAAATCAGAAAACAATGAGCTGTCAGATTTGTTTTTCCTTTTTGGTGTAGTTTAACTATATTCTATATTTTCACTGTACAGTCTTTTTTTATTTTATTTTTTTAACTGCAATATAAAATCCTGGAAACAGCACCAGAGTGGCCAGAAAAAGAGAGAGAGCTCATCTGTAATGCCATAAACACACACAATGTTTTTACAAGTGTCCACAGATTTTAGCAGATTTGGAAAAAATGGCAGGTTCCACATTTTATAGATCTTTAACTATGTGCATTGACTTTGATTGCTTTTTTTTTAGAGAGTGAGATCAGGACGAGGCTGCAGAGCGCTTCTCCTCCAGCCAGCTGTGAGTACAGATCATAACTATCCACACGTCTGAATGAACCTCAACAGTTTGACTCGTTGTGTAGATAAAATGCTGCACCGTCCTCCGTCTTCTGGCTCATACCCGCTGTTTCCTCTGTTCAGGGACGGAGCTGGACGACGTGAAGCGTCTGCTGAGAGGGAACCGGTCCACCAGCATCAGCCCGACTCAGTCGCCCAACAACACGCTGCCGATCCCCAGGAAGGCCAGCGTGGAGGCCAGGAGCCCGACGGAGAGCTGCAGCACAGGTTCTCAGCTTCTGGAGTCAAATTCAGACAAACAGTCCTGTAAAGCTGCAGCTGTTTCACTGGATGCGACACTGTGACCTGTTTGCTCCATTTATTAGTTATCAAGCTTGAAACGTCCAAGTGTTCTTTAAATTTTTTTTGCAAAGACTTTTTGTTTTGCACACATTTTCTCAGGAACGCCTTCAAAATTCAGTTTTAATGCTGCCTTGTATCATAATGAGAATAAAGCTTCTAATCACTGTAGAACTGATGATAATAAAACATGAGGTCCACTGTTTATTACTTTAACTACATTTTCCAATGATACGCTGTATTTACAAGAGATAAGTGTTATATTTGTAATTTACTTTTTGTTGTTGTTGTTTTAAAATGAATAACATAGTGAATTGCAGTCATATACCTGTCTGTAATATTAATGATTAATTTTAATATTTGAAAACATTTTCTTATTATTATGTTCAGGATATTTACTCAAAGGCAGCCACGCACGACAAATTATAGTTTATTAAGTATATTTTAGACACCAAGGAAAAATTATTTAATGCAATTTTTAAAACTAAACTGTTTGTAAAGTTGGTATAAGTTATTATAGTCTAAACCAGTGGTTCTCAAACTGGGGGTCGGGACCCCCATGGGGGTCCCAAGATAATTTCAGGGGGTCAACAGATCATACAAAAAATACAGAAATGAAGCCTACATTTATCAAATAAATGTGTATTAAGGCTGTCAAAATGAAAAGTGTATACTTCTTTCCACTCCTTTTTCAAACTTGTTAATATCATGATTTGATTATGTGATATTATTATTATTATTATTTTGCTCTTTTTAAATTATTTTCTTTTGATTTTGTATTTTAAAATTTAATTCATTCATTCATTCAAAAGAAAATATTAATGTAAAGAGATTAATCTGTGGATTTAACACATTCATTTTTAACGCATTAATGCATCAACAATAAAGTTAAGTCATGATATATTAAAAATTCAACCTAGGGGCTCACAAACACAAATTTATGTTATCTTGGGGGGTCGTGGCTCTAAACATTTGAGAACCGTTGGTCTAAACAACGTTCCACGAGCTGCTGTGAGAGAACTTGTCAGCCCATCGAGGGCTGTTTGTGAAGCCACTGGACTATAATAAAGCTGTTTGTGTTTCCCTTCAGACCAGTACGGCAGCGTTTGGTCCGGAGCCGTCAGCAGCAGCTACAGCTACAACACCAACAACCTGTCGACCAGCTCGGGCCTCTACCAGCCAGGTCGGTCGTCTCCACCACCAAACAACAGCCACAGACTGTATATGTTTCTGCTCTACATTATTTTAGGGACACAGGAAAGTATTTAGGCATGCGTAGATGATGCAAACACAGAGGACAGATCACATTTCATTGCCGTCCACATCTCAATATTCTCACATCACACTTGTCTGCAAATGTGCTGAGTCATGGTTTGTTACCTCTGGTGTGATTTTAGCAGAACAGAGCTGGGGTTTTTTTTTAAGTGACGGGTGAATAAATGTGATCTTGTGCAGGAGTCCAGAACAACCTGACGCTCAGCTCTCCCTCCATGAATGGTGGACTTCCTGTCAGCAGCTGTGGTGAGTCCATCGTGTCTCCAGACTTCAGACGTTCAGCTTCGTTCTGCCTCTGATGGAGTTTTTTTCTTTTTGTCTCAGTTCCAGTTTACGGGCTTCAGAACAACCTGGTCAGCAGCAGTCCGACCGTCCTCTCTCCCACTGGAACCAACACACCTATTGGTAAAACACTGATTTAAATAATAACTCACAGCAGAGAAACATTAACTCTCTTGACTGTCCTACGCTGTAAAAAAAACATGTTTTTAACTCTAACTTTTTGAACAACATACCGGTATGTTCTCTCTTTTGTTAGATTACAGATAATAAAAAGTGGCACCGCAGGAAAAAAGTAGAAAATAAACACAAAAAAATGGCAGAATCTCTATTTGTACATGTGGTTATTCATTCTTTGACAATGTTTGACCTTCAATCAATTCTATTTTTATGTGGTTTTTAAAAAATGTGGCATATGGGAGGATAAAAAAAAGGAGAAATGATTCTTTTTGACATTTTTTTTTTTCAAATAAGACTAAAATTTAAAAAATTTAAAAGCATGAATTTAAGTTAACGATTAAAAAAACAAATTGTAGTTTGTTTTTGAAAAATATGCTGCTTTAAAATGACTGTTTTACTGTATTTACATCTGCTAGAATGTCATTATTTTACATTATTAATATGATATTTTACATTTTACATTATTTCTTTTCCTTTAAAAAAAATTATCCTGATAACATGTAATAAAATCACAGAAAACATTTTAATTTAAATGTTAACTGAATAAAAATCAACGGTACAAATCTTTATAAACTGTAATTAGTTTTTTTTCACACTGTGTTGCTAGAAAATTTACTTAAATCTGCTAAAAAATATATCATTTTATAAATATTTGATGCTATTTTCACAGTTTCTCTAGTTTAACATTATAGGATATTTTCTTATTTTTCTGGCACCGTTGCTTCCAGAGTTTCACAGCTTTTTAGGGAGTTTTTTTTCTCTTGACCGTGTGTCCGTTCAACATGGAAAATGTTTGATATTTATCATGCATAAATAAGCTTTAAGTGTCAGTGTTACACCATAAAATGTCTGGTGAATTTTAAAACAAATTGCGTGTCAAGTGATGTTTTGTGCGATCTGTTTTGTCTCTTCACAGTTTATGGTGTTCAGAAAAACGTCTCCAGCATGAGCACAAGCACAGGCCAGTCAAGTCACACTTATTCATACACAAACACACACACAAATACAAATATATATATCTATAAAACACATGTGAATGTTTACCGTGTTGTTTGTCTGCCACAGTGCGACCCAGCAGTCCGGTTCATGACGAGGCCTCAGGGAAAGACTTCAAGTTTGTGCTGGTTGAGAAGGAAAACGCTCCCGTGAAGAAGGAGACGGAGCGTCTGGTCATGGCCAAAGACACGGGGAAGCAGTTCATGTCGGCCGCTCCGGCTGCTACTACTGGTACTACGCAATATACTACTACTGCTACTACTGGTACTACTGAATATACTACTACTGGTACTACGAAATATACTACTACTGGTACTGCTGAATACTACTGCTACTAGTGGTACAGCTGAATACTTCTGCTACTAGTGGTTCTATCACTAGGACGGCAGCTACTGTAGTCTGGACAGAACAGTCAGAGAGCAGCAACCACAGAAAGAGAAAAGGGTTTGTCATCTGAAGGATCTTTATTTTGGGGTTTAGACCAGCAGAATACAAAGACCTGTAAGCAGTTTTTAAATCCTAAAACTTGATTATTTGGCCTTTTAATGTCTAGTAAAAGATATTTGTATTTGTAAAACCAATTAAAAATACAGATAATAAGAATAAAATGACAGAGAAATAGATAAAAGTGTAGGTAGATATGATAAATTAAATATAGTATTAAAAGCTGCATTTTTACTTTACTGGCACTTACATTAATTGCAATTATTTTACATGAGACTTGCTATTAAATTTTGTAATTTGTTTATTTCAAAAATGCAGAAAAGTGTATTATTTTTGTAGTATAACTGATTAAATTCTGAAAGTTTGAAGCAGCAAAATTGAGATCAGGAGATGGGAAAAAGTGGCAAAATTAGCTTCATTCAAGTCCAGCAACACGTTAACGTGCAGTAAATGCAAATTACACCTGTTCTCTACGTTATCCAAGGTGTAGAATTACAGTGAATAAAATGTAAAAAATGCAGCCTTGTTTTGAATTTATGAGGCACCACTGCATAGATTTTATCAACTTATTTTGTGCTCAACTTAACTGCTGCACGTCAGCTTGTAATCAAAGTTGTGTACTCGGTGTTCATTATTAGTGACTGGATGTTTCTTGCAGCGACCTACTCTGAGGACTCACTGAAGAGAGAGAAACAGAAATTATCATCCAGCTCTCTGGAGGAGGGAACGGACGCCAAAAGTAAACCGATATTCAGTGAACCGTGTTGATCTCCAGCACTGTCACGTTCTTATCTGGTGTTTCATAAACGTCACGTTTTATGTCCTTCACAGCTTCAACCCTGAAGATTGCTACCAAAGACAAAGCCACCTACGCAGGTATGAGCTGGTGTTGTTTCACCTCTTCAGGGTGATCTGTTAAACATCCAGACCCCCCAAAAAAATCCACAAAAGCTATTGGTCACAGTAAGAGTCCTACTGGGTTAAATTATGTTTTCAGTGTTTTTCAGAGATAATTTTTGGCCTCAGTTTTAACATATTTGTACATAATCCACTCGGATGTACAAAAGTATGACTCACAATTTAATTTTATGTTGCACCTCGTTCATTTAATCATTACAAAGACGAAGGTGGAAAAAGGACGAGTTGCCAAATATGTTAGCGTACCAAGTTTAGCCGACCAAATAAACCCAACTCATCAGACACATGTTAGCTTACCAGACCAGCAGACATGTCAGCCTGCCTGATATATGTTGGCTTACCATCATTTATGTGACTTGTTTCAGACATAACACAACATCATTAAAAACAAATCCTATCCACAACTTCAAAGGTCTGAAAACGAGTGGGATGAAGTATTTAAGCTAGCTTTCTAAACAGTGTCTGTGAGGTGGATCAGCAGCACCAGGTTCTCCCTACTTGCTGCTAGACACACCTCATCAGACTTCTTCACTCGTCAAACACACTTCTGGAATTCTTTCACTTCTTTTTCTTCCACGTGCTCAAAATTATGTAGCAGGTGAAAAATCTTGACAAAAACAAACCATATTCAATGCACATAATCAAACTGCATCAAACCAAACTGAGTGTACGTGTACAAGCTAAACATTAAAATATAATCAATACATGCGTATCTCACCCGACTGCATCTGTGAGGTGAAAAAGTCCTGAAGTTTCAACAAGTGGTGGAAGTTTCTCCTCCCAGAGCAGAACGTCGAAAGAGTGTCTGCATGTAAAGACCCAGGGTGCAGCTGCTCTGGTAATTAGCTGCTCTGTTGGTTAGTTGCTCTGGTAATTAGCTGATGACTAACCTGCTGCCCCGGCTCAAGGCTCTGGCAAGGAAGGGAGAGAGAGATGCAATTTGCCGCAACAATTTCTGCAGAGATGTAGTGTAAAAGTCAGAACTCATCAAAAACTGTGAAACTCACATTTATCTCCAGTAGTCATATCTATGTACGCTTATAAAAATAATCTATAGGATGAGGCCTGGTTTCTCCACTCATGTTGTCGCATTCTGGCATCATCTAATACACGTAGCATATGATTTGATGGCATCCATCTTCTGACCTCATTTAATTTTTTTTTAAAAAGTAAAAATGTGGTAATAAAAACACTTCAGTTTATCTGAAACCATGCAGTCTTGAAGTGATGTTGCACAAAGATGTAGCTCAGAATATAAACATATAAATACATAAATTCATTATTATAACTGAACTACTGAACCTGAAAAGGAGAAAGCTCTGCCAGCTGTGCTTTCTGATGTTCAGGTTTTTTTCTATCATGCAGCATCATTGACCATAACCCAGCTTGTTTGTTTCTCAGAGATCCGTAACGATGAGTCGGGCCTCGGCTTCTTGTCCTGCTGCAGCTGGTGGAAGTGGCTCCTGGGCCTCCTGCTCGGCCTCCTGCTGCTCCTCGGCCTCCTCTCCGGACTCATCGCTCTGGGTGAGGAGCTGTGCTGTTCGTGTAGATTCAAGGCGACCTGCCCAGACTCACCGTCCTCCCTCTCATCTCAGGCGAAGAAGTCAAACGTCTGAAGAACCGCGTGGAGGCTCTGGAGGCCATCGCCGGCGTCAGCGCCGCTTCAGCCAGAACCAGCCGCCTGTCCGCCTCCTCTGGCATCAACATCATCGACCCTCTGGACTCGTACATCGACAGGAGCTCCTCTGGTCCCACCATCACCCGGTCCGACAATGGGATCAACCTGGGGGCTGCTGGGCCGGGAGGAGGAGGAGGAGGAGGAGGACTAGGAGGAGGAGGAGTAGGCGGACTAGGAGGAGGCATTGGAGGTGTCGGTAGTGGACCGGGTCAGGACAGCGCCGCCCTGCAGAGAGCTGTTCAGCAGCTGATCCGGGCTGAACTCCACTCAGGTCCAATTAGAGGTAAATACATTGACACAGTTTCACAGATGGACGGGTCAACAGGTGGAAACCAACAACACTTTTTATAACTTTACACAATTCTATGCTGATGATATTTGACTGTTTAACTCAAAATGTGAAGAAGAAAGAACTTGGAAAACCTTTCAAAACACCACAGATCCATATTGGAAAATGTTTGCTCTGAATTGTTCAGTGCAGCCAAAGACATACGAGAAGTTTTACCTTTAAAACCTGTTAAACAAGCTGATGCTGTACAGTTTGATTTACCGATGACGTAAACGTTGTTGTTTGTGTGTTCAGAATCTCTGGTTTACTCGCTGAAAGGAGAAAGAGGAGAACCAGGACCTAAAGGTATGTTTGCACTGATTATAGAATAATTTGTGTTTGATATTTAGTTCATGTTCATCACTAGCTTGGTTGCGTCTCTGCAGGTGATCCAGGAGCACTCGGACAGAAAGGTGAGCAGCTAATTGTGTTTTAATAACTCCAGAATCAAACTCTCAGAACTGCTGCTAAAAACGAGTCTTTTGCAGGTGATAGCGGCTTCCCAGGTCTGCCAGGTGAGACTCGGAGAAGATGTGCTGCAGGTTTTTTTTGTGTTTGATGACGGGACGACAAACTCACTCTTTTCTTGTTTGTTCAGGTCCTCCGGGGCAGATGGGTCACCCGGGTCTGGACGGACCCAGAGGACCGAAGGGCAGCGCAGGTAGCGTCCAGTTCAGACCGTTTTCTTTGCACAAGAAAAGAGAAAACCAACACAACACCTGAGCATCTGCCCTTTGTGTCCAGGTGAAGCAGGTGGTGAAGGGCCGCCGGGCCAGAGGGGCCGGGAGGGACCGATGGGCCCCCGAGGAGAACCTGGAGCACCAGGATTTGGAGAAAAGGGAGATAAAGGTTGTAAATGTGCTGATTTAATGCATGTAGTTTACTTTTTATTAAGGGATTTAACAGAACAGTGCACAGGGGTTAACAAACGTATGATCAGGCCTGAGATAGTGGACCCATTCGGAAGCAAACTGCTGATCAACAAACGTCCATCGATTCATTCAACGTCAAGTTAAGATGGAATAATTTGGAGGATGCGGGCATCGATCCCGCTACCTCTCGCATGCTAAGCGAGCGCTCTACCATCTGAGCTAATCCCCCATGTTGCTGTTAAATCTGGTCTTGACAGGATCTCAAGGAGAAGCAGGACGTCCTGGTCCTGCTGGTGCTGCAGGACCTGTGGGGCCAAAAGGTGAGATCAAGGCCTGTGTAGTTTATACTTGAATCACCATTTTGGTAGTTTTGTAGGTGTTTTTAGTTCCTGTCATGTTTTTAATCACTGTGGGTTCGTTTTTCACTGCAATAAAAAGTCCTGAACAGCAAAACCCAGGAGTGGTACTAATAAGAAGATAAGTTTTTTAAATGCCATAAATCATAAAATGGAGAGAAAAAAGTTGAATTTATTTGATTATTTATCCTGCAAAAATGTTTAAAATACTGCAATTAGTGTGTACAATCTCATTAATGGCTTCATGGTTGGTGGGAGGAGTGCAGGGTTTTGGTTCTGGTTTGAGCAAACGGTTTGTTTTTGGGCAAATTATTAATTATCAAATGTTTTTGATGAAATATCACAAAAACTCTGTTGTTCACTCTGTGTTTGCAGTTTCTGGCTCAGATAAATTATGTGATCTTGGCCATGTTATTAAACATAACTTGTTTTTCAAACCTCCTGGGGGGCGCTTTAGAGGTCTACATGTTTCAGTACAAACCACTAAATTCTAATTCCAGCTGTTCTCCTTTGGTTCAGGTGCCATGGGCGAACAGGGCGCCTCTGGAGTTCCTGGTAAAGACTCAGTCTCTATGAATGTTTGGTCTGTTAGCCGGCGTTGATGAGCTGTTCTTTCTGTATTAAATCGGTAACAACTGTGTGCAGGTGTTCCGGGTCCAAAAGGTTTCCAGGGTGATGCTGGAGCTCCAGGAGCAAAAGGTAGAAGATCTTCAGAACCACATATAAACTGGATCACATCAACTCACACAACTGTGAAATAAAATCTCTACACAGTTCATGTTTAATCAATTAGTGATGGAACAACCACCTTTGATTCTCCGGTACGTAGGTGACCGAGGAACCCCCGGGCTGCCAGGAACCAAAGGAGATCTTGGAGAGAGAGGATCACGAGGACCTTCAGGTGTGTCTCAGCACAACTTTGTTATCAGTCATCCACATAAATATGAAAAACACAGCTTCTATCAGCAGCTATTATATAAAAAAAACTAAAGTTCTTCACCACAAAGTTTAAATAAATGGTCTGCACTTATATCCAAAGCACTTTACAATGTGTTTCTCATTCACCCATTCACATACACATTCATAAACCAATGGCGACAGAGCTGCCATTGGGAGCAACTTCGGGTTCAGTGTCTTGCCCAAGGACGCTTCGACTATGGATCGAACCGCCAACCTTGTGATTGGAGGGCAACCTGCTCTACCACCTGAGCCACAGCGCCCCATAATAAACAATGTGTTCGCTACTGTTTCGACCTTTCGTTCATCAGTTTGCTGATTTTGTGATGCAAAATGTGCACTAAATGACTTGAAAACACCCCATAATGTCTGACAGCTTGACTTGGATCAACCTTTCTGGATCAACCTGTTGGGAGGCTGCAGGAAAAAAACATTTCTGGTCCTCACAACTGATCAATCAATTATTTGTTGACTATTTAAATAGCCAAGTATTTCAACAATCGAAATAAAGAAGTAAAAATTTTGCAACTGCAGCTTCGTAAATGTGAATACGTTTCTTACCTCCTCTGCGACAGTAAACTGAACGTAAACAAGACGTTTGTCCCCATTTGCTGACATTTTATAAACCAGATATCTAATCAATTAATCAACAATGACACTAGTCCTGTCATGAACTCTTTGCTTGTCTTAAAGGTGAACCAGGACAACCTGGAGCTCAAGGCCCTGCTGGACCAAAAGGATCTAAAGGAGATTCTGGTGAGCAGAGAAGAGCTGCAGAATCACCAAACAGAACCTTAAACACTGTTTTAACTTCCTGTGAACTTCTGTTTATGGATCACAGGTGAGGCGGGTTCAGCGGGATCTCCTGGTGCGAGAGGACCACCTGGACTCTCTGGAGATGCTGGTCCTCCAGGTAGCCAAACCCTGTCCGATACTCAGCAAAACAAAATGCTCTTTATCGAACTGTTTTTGCAGAATTTTGCATATATTTACCTGAAAAACCATCTTTCTGTCTGTTCCTTTTCTTCAGGCGTTCCTGGACTCCAGGGACCTCCAGGTATCGGGAGATAAGATCCATTCTTCTACCCGTCATACAGTTTAGGTTTTGTTTATTGAGATATTTGTTGTTTGCTGCAGGTATTGCCGGGACTCCAGGACCGCCTGGTGGTAAAGGTAACGCCCCGTTTCCTTTTTAGTGAATGGAAACTAGAAAATGCAAAAACATCACGAAAGAAACCAAAGCATTCTTTATAAAACTCACCTTTAATTTAGAGTACAAGAGTCGCAGAACTCATATTTCTGAGTCCTACCAGTTGTGACCAACACTGGAAAAACAGTGACTCTACAGATAGTTTACTGCTGACATTTTCAGCTGATCTGCATTCTTGGCACTGTTGATCACTGATGGCTTCATAGTTGTGGGGAGAAGCACAGAATTGTTTTTAGGTTTCTACAGAATTTGGTGAATTTGGTGAATGCATATGGTTTATTTTTGGTAAAAATGTAAAATAGATTTGATTAAATATCACAGTTTTAAGCTTATACAGAATAGAATAGATGTTTATTGTCATTTTTAACAACAATGAAAGACAGTTTAGTTGCTCTGTGGATTAGAAGCATAACAGAACAAAGAGCAGAGAGTCATCACAAAAAGAAAACAAAACGTTTTCGATTTCCTGATGGAATGGTGCCATGAGTTGGTGAGTTGTTCAAGGACCTTCATTTAACAAAAAAAATCTGATTATTCTTTCTGTTTATACAGTTTGCAGCTCTGATGAATGCTATAATTTGTCAAATCGTAATGATAAAGATGTTTGTCAGGTATAAATGTGTTTCCATAATGTTTAGTCTCATTATAAAACTGTGTTGCAGGTGAACCAGGATCACCTGGTAAAGTCGTCGCTTCAGGTAACACCAACACTTGTTCTTATTATATGCAGGAGTTCGCTGTGTTTTATTACTGCAGCTGGTTTTTGTCTTTCCTTTTATTTCTAGTTGGTTCTGATGCTGTTGCCATCCCCGGACCTCCAGGACCAGCCGGGCCTCCGGGTCCTGCTGGACCTCCTGGTCTGTCCGGTCCCATTGGTCCTGCTGGTCTCCCGGGACAACTAGGTGAATCCAGCTTCTTGACGTGTGTTGAGCATAAATCAAACACCTGGATGGGTAGTTTACTTGTGATTTAATCTTTTAGGTCCTAAAGGAGAACAAGGGGAGAAAGGAGAGAAGGGAGAGAAAGGAGAGAAAGGAGAGAAAGGCGAGGAAGGAAAACCTGGAGAACCCGGTAACAGCATCTCGTCAGAATCTGTCAGTGCCAGCAGCTACAACAGTGAGTCCCTCTGGATCAGTTTTATCTGGTGGTGATATCCTGAATACACCAGGTCGGACTTTAATTTAGACGCTTTTCCTTCCTAACAGAGCTCTCTGCAGTGGCTGGACCTCCAGGCCCACCTGGACCTCCAGGGCCTCCTGGAACACCTGGTCCTCAAGGCCCTGCTGGTAGGTTCAAAGCTGGTTGTAAGATACCAAGAGCATCTCCAAACACAATCAAACTACCTGCTTGTCGGCCCATTAAATTGTTCATTATCATCACACATGTGGGCCAGTGGGACCTTCCTCCACCTTCCAATAGCCTCAGTCGACCCGTTATCATCCAATCTGATTAATATTAGATAACCACCAAACACAGGCGACATGTGAATAAGTTCATGTAGTCGTCACCCTGTAAATGCACAATAGACATTTTATCATTTACACTTTTAATATGTTTCCATCCTTGTCTCTTATCTGTTTTGTGTAAACACAACCTGCAGTTCAAACAAAAATATCTCAATTTTAAGTTTAGACTTGATTCATTTTACTGATGTAACGCAGCATCACACGTGATTAGTTCATCGGCAGTCTGAAAGTTGAGAATGACTCTTGATGTTTTTTTAGTTTCTGGCTGATAAATGGTGTAATTTGGGTGATTTTAATTTTAAAAATGATGCTTTTCAAACTGAGAAGTTTTGAGGTTCAGGATTCTGAACCTAACCAAGGAGCCTAAACTTAAGCAAAAATTGAAAATGAAAGTAACCACTTAATAAAAACTGGAAAAAAAGCAAATGTCATGTTCTTTGTCAGGTAAAAAATGTGACTTCATTGCTAATAAATACATTGATCATGACTGACTTAGCTATCAGCATGTGGAGGAGATTCCTAGTGGCCTGTACTGTGTGTGAATGATGCACAATGCTGGCTGTTGTTGAACTGTTTGATGTAATCTGATCAAACTAATGATTCCGCAAATGTCCTTGTTGTTTAGGTTACGCTAAACCAGGTCCACCAGGACGCCGAGGGCCTCCTGGAGAGCCAGGTAAGCAAGTATCCTACATTACAGACAGAGTGATAGATAAACTGATCGTCAGCATACAGGATCATTTTTTTAAAGAAGTGTCTGTTTTAAAATTGATCTGTCATCATGTCCTCACAGGTGTTGGTAAACCTGGACTTCCAGGAGAGAAAGGAGAACCTGGCAGCTTTGTTCCAACATCAGGTAGGTGAAGAAATCTCACTTTAGATCAACTATGTCTCATACTATACAGTTTCTATGGCATTTTGGATAAATTTTTCCCCATTTTGTCTCAGAAACCTTCTTTTCTGGACCACCAGGACCTCCAGGACCCCCAGGACCACAGGGTTCACCAGGTAGGTTCAACAGGTTAGATGGTTTGGAAACAGTGTGTGTCATTAGCGAACTGGAAAGCTCTAAGGTTTAGAATCTCTGGTTCAGAAATGTTCTTTTATTCATTTCTCTCAGGTGATCAAGGACCACAAGGATACCAAGGTGAGGAAACTGCATCATACTTTCGAAACTGCAAGTTTCCACAGACAGACAGTCTGTGACTAAACGAATGATGGTTGTTTCAGGTGAACCAGGACAACCAGGTCTTCCAGGAAGTCCAGGCGACGAAGGTGTTGGTGAGTACACAACTCTGAGATAAGATGGATTTTGTCATCTCCAGGATCAATAACAAACATTAAAGCTCTGATTACAATTGATCTCTTTTCATGTCAGGTTTCCCAGGTCAGCCTGGAGCTAGAGGGCTTCCAGGACCAGAAGGACCTCGAGGGCCTCCAGGATCAGAAGGACCAAGTGGCCCTCAAGGTCCACCAGGACCAGAGGGATCACAAGGGCCTCAAGGTAAATTCAAACCAGTTATTTTTTGTGACCTTCTTTCAGGGTTTTTGCTGCATAGAGGATTTTGGTGCCCTCCCAAGGAGGTTTTAGGACCAAAGAAAAATCACCAGCACCAAGATAGGGTGACGAGGTTCTTCAAGTTGAAAGCAACCAGTTGAGGTGGTTCGGCGATCTGATGCCTCCTGGGAACCTTCCTTTGAAGGTTTTCAACTGTGAGGAGACTCTGGTAGACCAGACTTTTCTGGAGGGATTAACTATCTCATCTGGCCTGGGAACACCTCAGGATCCTCCAGGAGGAACTGGAGGACGTTGCTTGGAACAGGGATGTCTAGATTGACCTGCTTAGTCTGCTTCCACCAAAACCCAACTCTGGATACGAAAATGGGTGGATGGATTTTAGTTGGGGTTTGAATTAGTTGAAACATAACAGACATTTTTGTTTATCAAATGGTCTGAAAAACCAGGAAATGTATGAACTTCTGTCAACACAGATTTATTTTAGTTGTTGGAAATCCTCCTTTGACAGTGTTTACATGGTTACATACAAACACTGCTCATTGTGCTTGTATTTGCTCATGCTTTCTTTTATTAAGAGTTCAGCAAAAGATTACGTATGTTTTCCTTGCAGGCGAAGCAGGAATTCCTGGTTCTCCTGGAGCCTCCACTGGTAAAACCACATTTACTGTTATAGTTACTAAACTTCTAGTTGAAAACTTTTTTCTTCCCCTTTTAGCAGTGAGAGGAATTATTGTGACTAGTGTTTGTCATTATACTTGTAATGATACAAAAGCTGTAGATGCATGCTTATGATAGATTCGTTATTGTTGATCACTTATTTATTTCGACTGAAATCCTTCTTTTAAAGGTTGTTTTTTAATCTGGAGCTTCAAAACCTTTTCTTTGATGCTTCCTGAAAGTTCAGATAAAGAAGACCATGTGGAATTAGAATGCTGATATTAAGCTTCGAGCTGATAAATCATGTAAATTCAGGACTTGTGCTCTGGTTTCAGCACTCAGACAGGGTTACTGCTGCTTTCTTCAACATTAGGTGCTAAAATTGAGCATGTAGTCTTTTTTATATATGTATTTGGCATTTCATTTGGGACTTGTGTTATCGCACCAGGTGGCTCATACAGTTCGAGATCCCCAGGTCCACCTGGACCACCTGGACCACCTGGAACACCTGGAACACCTGGAACACCTGGAAGAGATGGAAGCAGCTCTGGATCAACTGATGTGGGCCAGTATGTCGCAGAGTACCTTCAGAGTAAGCATCAGTTCACCCTAATGTATGTAACATTACATATGTATGAAACAAAAAGCTAAGTCGGGTGATCTGCTTTGGTGTTCAGGTGGTGGGATCAGAGACTACCTGGCTGGACCTCCTGGGCCTCCGGGTCCTCCAGGGGCCCCTGGCACTTCTGGAGGTGCATCGGACAGACTGGTGGACGATGTTGCCAACCGAGTGGTCGCCTACCTTCAGAGTATGACCAATTACACAAAGATGTTGCATCTGTTACTGTGCAGGACATCTGTTTGTAAAAATCACCTCAACTTTTACCTGCTCAGGTTCAGGTTCAGGTTCAGGTCGGGGATATGGCAGTAGCGCTGGCAGTAGCGCTGGCACTGCTGGCCCCGCTGGCCCCGCTGGCCCTCCTGGTCCTCCAGGTCCACCTGGATCCATCTCTGTCAACGATATCGTCAACCTGTTGCAACGTAAGGCTCCTTTAAAGGTGGTTAGATTCCAGTTTTCTAGTGCAATGACAGAAAGACAGGGACATCATGTGAACTTTAAAAATGCTGGTCATGCTGACCTTGAATCATTTGGTTAATGTGTTTATTTCACACTCGCAGCTGATTTATTCAAAACCCCTAACTCTGTTTTTGATACCCTCTTGTCTGTCAATTCTTTGTGTCCAGGAGAGGACGTGAGGAGATACATCGGTGGTGGTGGTCAACCTGGACCACCAGGACCTCCTGGACCTCCGGGAGGTTCTGGTGGATACGGCGGCTATGGCGTTAACACCCAGGAAATTGCTGAACGTGTTTTCGCTTTAATGAACGGTGAGTGTTACACAGAGTCTGACAGGTGACCTGCAAAGAAAGGGTTCTGTTGTGTTTGACCGAGGGTTCTGTTTGCTACCAGAGAGGGGGGCTGTAGGTGCACCCGGACCTCCTGGACCTCCTGGACCTCCCGGTGCTCCTGCATACGGAGTCTCAGGTAAGGAACTCAAAACAACATGGGCGGATCTCCAGGTAGACAAAATGGTTTCATAACAGCCTAAATCTGGTAGAACAGAGGAAATCATTTGGCCCATGTAGGATTTCCACAGCAGGAACTCAAGGCACCAATGTTTACGAATGTGTGCCTTGAATGTTTAAAGGGCCTTCTTAACTGGTTCTTTGAACCTTTCTGTTTCCAATGCAGTGTAAGATACAACAACTTTGACTGTGATGTTAGACTGCATCAAATCAACAACAAACAGTAGTGACCGAATATAACATTGTTATATATAACTATAATTTAACCAAACAACATCAAGCCCCACACACCAGATTTTAATGGCAGAAGTATCGACCCAAGACTAGGCAAATGGGCCTAAATATAAAGCTTGGGTGACCCTAAAAAAGCAGCAGAAAACAGCATTGGTATCTTGTTCAAATCCAGGTCACCACACATGGTCCATAGTCAGTGTGAATCTGGCTAAATTGGTCTGAACCCAAACTAAGCCAGACCTATACCCCTAAATCTGGCAACTATTAATGGATCACAGCTGGTTGACCAAAACTGAACTGCTTCCAGAACACAACCGCTGGTGCAGACACTTGTCAAGTCAAGTCAGTTGGTTTAAAGAGCCCATATCATGCACATTTACAGGATTATCATTTCACTATTTTTCTCATACTTTACATCATTGCAGCACATTTTCTGCCTGAAATGCTTTATTTTAGCTCCTGTCTCTTTAAGGCTCCTCTTCTAAAAAGCCCAGTCTGCTCTGATTGGTCAGCTGGCTTGACAAAAGCCAGGTAACACTGGTCAGTAACCTTAGCAAAATAACACACTAAAGGAAAGCGGAAAGCCAAAACCCTTCACAGCTAAAGAAACAACCAAATGAAACAACAAAACTGCAAAACACCACAAGTCAAAGCAAATATTAAAACTCAGTCTGGTTTCAACACCAAACTACAACACCTGTCTCCAGCAAAAACATGTTTCTGTTGTTTTCATGCACAAACAGATGCTAATTTTCATTGTCCAACTAGGTGGGTATCAACCTCATGCGGGTGTTCAGGGTCCTCCTGGTCCTCCAGGTGTTCCTGGTCCAGAAGGTCCACCTGGACCACCTGGACCACCAGGATATGGGAACCACCTCAGCTCAAACATCCGGGACTACCTGCAAAGTGAGTCTAACAGCAAACATTTACTTCTTTGATTCAAAAAGAAAATGCATTGAACATGTTGTCTGCCTTCATGCAGGTGTTGCCTTCAGGGGTCCTCCTGGGCCTCCTGGTCCTCCTGGACCTGAGGGCCCCCCTGGTCCAAACCGTGGATTGGTTCCTGTCGGTGACCACAGAGAGAGATTCAGAGCTGAACTACAAGAATACGTCAAGAGTGAGTTTAAGGAATTGTTTGACCTATTTATACCTGAGAAAATCCAGAGTTCTGGACCTGCTCGGGGTCCAAGTAGATGATGATCTGATAATTTGTCAGGTTTGAGTTGTTGGCTTGACTTATTTTATCTTGCCCTATTGCATGGTCAGGATGTTATGTGTTTGAATTTGTTTTCACTATTTGTCTAATTTGACATTTGTTTTGTTGTAAAGCACCTCTGAAGTTTGTTTATGAAAGGTGCTATATGAACAAAGGTGAATAATATTGTTTTCATATTTCTGTCCAGGTGATGGTTTAAGCGGAGCTATGTTTGGAGTTCCTGGTCTGCCAGGCCCTCCTGGACCTCCAGGTCATAAAGGAGAGCCAGGTGAACCTGCTGCCAGAGACTGGACCGTAGACACTGGTGACTTCTCCAGTATGGCCGCCAAAGTTACCGATTACATCAAATGTAGGTGTCAGTTCGACTTTTGACAGAAAACACAAACTGAAGCTCGAATCCATCTGTATGTGCTCTTATTTTGGTAAATATCTCTATTTGGCAGCTCATGGTCTGCTTCGAGAGGTTGCGAGAGACTCTGAGCGGGTTGTTCAAGGACCTCCAGGACCCCCTGGCCTCCCTGGAACACCTGGACAGATGCAATGGGTTAGCTCCAGCGAAAATGTCGTGGATGTGGTGGAATACATTAAATGTAAGTTGATATGAGCTTTGGGTGCTTTCGTCAAAATTATGGATGTCTCAATCAAGTTTTGCAAGAAAGGCGTCTTCCGACACCATTTTGCTAGATAACACTCACTTCACGGATTGTAGACTTGATGTAGTACCCGGTTGTGCCACCAGGTGGAGCCTCTGGTTCTTTAATACTGTAGAGATCAGAGGAGGCAGACAGCTTGGACAGGAGCTTTGTGTGAGTTTGGCTAGTAAAGGGGCACCAAAACAAAGTCTTTTTGAGGTTTAATGACCTCCGACCAGTGCCCATGTTAAAACAAACAAGGATATATTAGGACAGAGTATCCCAGTGGCAGAAATCTTGCATCACCTGGTTTCCTGTCACCTGCAGCTCGCGGTTTGCTGCAGGACATTGTGCGGGACTACAGCGGCCATGTTTTCCAAGGACCTCCAGGACCACCCGGGCCTCCAGGTCCTCCTGGATACGGCCGATGGTCTGGTTCCCATGGAAACACCACGGCTCTAGTGGAATACATCAGAAGTAAAGAACATTTAGAGGCAAAATGTTACGCTGGCTGAAAGATGTGAGAATGTGGAGGTCTGATAACAACTGGATTTATTCTTCACAGCGCATGGAGCCATCGTTGGACCTCCTGGGAGACCAGGACAGAAAGGAGACATGGGACCAAAAGGAGAGACAGGTACAGTGAACAGTCATGTAAAAACACACGACGTATTTGAACATGCAAACATTCAAACCGCTTTGAAACAGTGGTTGACTGATGAATGTGGAAAATTACCTTTGTCAATCATTTAGTCCACAAAATTCAGAATAGATGTGATGTTCCTGAGTGGAAAAAGTAACTAGAGCCCTGGCATCAGAAGCTATGATTGACCCGTTTGGCTGAGATATCTCCTTGTAGGTGGTTTGTAGAATCGTCCACCAGTTTCTGACTTGAGCTTACTGAACTTTTTGACCAGTTTTTCGGCAAAATTCCTTCAGTTGCAAGATGTTTGAGGATTTTATTCCTGTTTCAAATCCCCCTTTAACCTTTCAGTGGCATTCAGATCTCAGTTTTGACTCTTTTGCTCCATAAATCTCCATTTCTTCTGTGTGAGTCGTGGATTTGTCAGTGTGTTTGAATCATTATATCACTGAAAGGTCAACGTCTGGACAGAAAGCTTCAATATCTTAAAGCCTTCTTTGGCGTGATGCAGGATTCGTAGTTGCATCAGTGGCTGTAAGTTGCCCAGATCCTGAGGCAGCAACCAGACCAGAACATCTCCACCACTTTGCTTGGTTTGAGGTTCTTCTCCTGAAAAGCTGCCAAACATTTTTACTGCCACTGTGGCCAAACGTTGGTCTGCTCAGAGCACATTACTGCAAAACATCACTGAGTTCAGCATTTTAAAATATGTTGAAAAATGTTTGTTGGGATTCACTCATTCCTGTCAGACGTCCACTTTTAGATTTATTTCTACCACAAACTCTGTTAAAACAACCGTTGTGTGTGTGGATGCAGGTGATCGAGGCCTTCCTGGACCTGAAGGACCCAAAGGTGACCGAGGTCAGTTGTTTTCCTTCAGAGCAGCAGAACTGTCCATATGAATATGACTTTAGACCAGAAGATGAAGGTTAAACTTTGACTATGAAAGTATAAACACCTCTACAAAACGAGGCTCCACAACAAACCCAGACGTCTGCACAGTGAAAGCTGATCAACGGAAGTTAAGGCTGGAATAGTCTGAGAAACTCTTTGGTTATTTATTTGAGCTACTTTGACGGGAATCATCCTGCATCCATCATGCTAGTTCTGTATACGCTGCACAAACCTGGACTGAAACAACTAATTAAAGTTTAGTAAAGTTAAATAACTACAAGTACGATGGTATATTTTCCATTTAAGGACATTTTCAATTAAGTACGGCGCTATAGATGTTGTTGCCAAGTGGAGAAATTTGTGTTTTTCAAAATAGGCCCAGACAGAAAAACATAGAACCTTAACAGAAGAAAATCTAATCTAAAATATTTAATAAATTCTGCTGTTACAGATGTTCGTGCAGGTGGAATTATTTTATGGTTTTGTAAAAGAGATCTAGAATAACTTAAATAAAATGCCGTCTAAAATTGGCTAAATTTTGAATGAAGTCTGGTGCTATAGATGTTGGTGCAGAGGGTGTGAATGTGTGTTTTCCAAAATTGGGCCCTCATAGAAAATAAAGATAATTCCTCCTGAATATTATCTAAAATTGGCAAAATTCTGAATGACGTCTGGTGCTAGAGATGTTTGTACAGAGGAAATTCTGCTTTCCAAAATATGAGGAGTTTTATCAAATGAAATCACGTCTTAAATTGGCCAAATTTTGAATGGGGTCTGGTGCTTGAAAGCATTGAGCTTTTTATTTGGCTCTGGTTATGAGCTGCTGCGGAAATACTACAGCTTGTGGCATCCAGACCATAATTGCTGGTATTTAAGGCGCCTAAAGTGTCCAAGAAAACACTCCCCACATCATTACACCAGCAGCAGCAGCTGGACAGTTGAAATGAGGCCGTTTGGCTCCAGGGTCGGTCAGTTTGTTCTCATTTCTGTTCTTGGCTGACAGAAGTAGAACCGATTCTGCTGCCGGAGCCTCGAGGTTGAATCTGAGCTGCTTCTCTGCAGTTTTAAAGAACTGAGTCAATGTTGGTGTTCTGTCAGCTCCAAACATAAAATTAAAGATTAGAAACTTGAGTTTAAACGTGTTTTATGGAGTCAACACAGCTGCTCTCGCTGGAGGATTTCTGGTGAAAATCCAAGAGATCAGATCAGCCGCTTCAGAAACACCCTTTAAGTGCCGCCACGTGATTGGCTGATGGGACACCTGCACGAGTCGGCAGGTGTTTGTAATAAAGCGAACATCACGAGGACGAAAACAACAAATTAGACGAGAGCCTGAACTCATGAAGAGGACGAGCGGGAGGAGAGTTAACGAAGCGAACTCGTTTACTGAGAACATTCATTTAATTAGTTGATTTAATCCAGATGAGTTAGATTTCACACACATATTTACAGAGAAAAATCTGTGCAAATCCAAAGTGTTTCTGCAAATTATTTATCTACCAGCACGATTTGCACATTAGTTTCTTTATTTTTCTGAAATCTAACGTGTGAGCGACTGGATTCCTTGAATTTTTCCAAATGAATGATTAAAATATTTATCTATAAAGAAGAAATAAAATTGTTTTCATAAGCCTGAAAATCTACACATTGGAGAGCCTGAATGTTTATTTTTTATTTTTATTTTTGCACATCACCCTCTGCTGCTGCATCACTACAAACTCCATTTTGTGTGACTCTAATCAGAGCTGTTGTTCCGTTTCAGGAGAATTCGCGGTGATGACGAGAAGAAGACGACGAGACGTCGGCGTCTGAGTCAGAACCAGTTTTTCTGCGAACTGAAGCTGTAATTTTTTTATGTTGTGTTTTTGTACTTGTGAGCATTATCGATCCTGTGTGGCATCCAGGGGTTTGTTTTAGTCGTCTGGTTTATTTTGTGGGACTGAATGTTTGTTTTTATACTTGGGGGGCATTTTATAATTAAGAGTATTTTTATATATAGATAGAAATGTGTGAATTTCTTGTGTGTGATCGATTCAAGAATCAAAACACCTGCGGAAGAGACGGAAGAGTTTATTTACAGCAAAAAAACTGAAAATCAACATTACACAGGCGTCTAGAAACTATACATGTATTTAAAAAAAATGCATAATGATTTCGATATGTTGTTTTTTTTTTTGTTTTGTTTTTGTCACATTCATAAATTGAGAACCAGGACTGATTTTAATTCTACAAACCTTCAGTGGAGCTTCTGTATAAATAGCTACTGAGGAGGTTTCAGTAAAAAAAGGTGCACAGCACTCCTTCTCTGCTCAGTCACTTATTAAATACCATCAACTGTCAGCCAATCAGAGAGAAAACGAGATGACAGAATGAACCAATCAGAGGTCACGATGGCCCAAACCAGTCAGGTCCATTTGTTGTTGTTGTTTTTTTCTTGTTGCATCATAATAAATCAGCCTGAATATAAAATAAAAATAAAAACTGCAAAAAGTTCACGTTGTGTTCTTTGAATACAGAAACATCTGTAACATCTGCTGAATAATAATAATAATAATAAAACCTTTAACTCTTTAAAGGCAGAACAGTTACACAGGATATCATTTCTGGAGTATTAAGGCTATTAGCTAGCAGGAAAACACTATTATTGTCTGAACAAGAAGCCCAGCAGGCTTTACCCACGATGCACCTGGCGGCAGAACGACCACCGAGGAGGCAAAGACAAAAATCATCGTCGTCTGGTGGTGTTTGTGGCTGTACATTTGTTAGGAGGATAAAGTTCATGATATTCAGCCTTCAAAAGGAGAATTCTGGTTTATTTTCTATTAATGTGTCTTTTAAGTGTCGTTTACACGTTTCTGCTCCAGCAGGAAACAGAAGAGGACAGTTTAGGATTTTTAGGTGAATAATTTTTTTGTTGTTGTTGTTTTTAGTACGATTAAAAAGAAACACAGATATGAGCAGCTTCATTGGCTGTTGTTGCACAGCTGGAAGCTCATCTATGGACATGTGGAGGTTCGGTAACGTTGGACGACTCTGAGTCACCTTGGACACGTTTTGAGGAATTTCAGAACAACTCTGAGTTACTGTGGACAGTTTTTTAGCTCCTTTTGGAAACGGTAAAAGTAATTCTGGACACATTTCAAGTCATCTTAAACAAATTTTGAGGCACTTTGGACAGTTTTTGAACAACTTCTGACAAATTCTAAGTCATTTCGGACAAGTTTGAGTCATTGTGCAGAGTTTAACCACATTTCTGACACATCTTGAGTCATTTTGGAATCATTTAAAACAATTTTGGACAGTTCTGAATCATTTTGGACCAATTTGTCAGTAATTTTGGACAGTTTTTGAGTCCATTTGGACACATTTCAAACTATTTTGGATCGTGATAAACCATTTCAGACATATTTTAAGTAATTTTGGACAATTTCTGATTGATCTTGGACAACTTATGTTATTCTTGACATTTTCTGAATTGTCAAAGACCAGTTTTGAGTTATTTTGATAAAGTTCCACGCCTGGATTCCTTTCATCTATGGACACGTGGAGGTTTCGCTGCTGTAAAAGTCAAATGTGGAAACAAACGGACTAATAAACCAGAATTCTCCTTTAAAATGAATCATTTCCAGAATTATCGGACATCAGCGTCGTTTCCTTCCTTCATCCCTGAATAACGCTCCTACATGAGATGACTTCTGATCGACAACAAACAGAGCTGTTAAAACAACAGAACAAGAGTTATTTAAATGCTTCTTTGTGCCACCACAGTGTTCTCCGTCTCCACACCTCCTCCAGTCTTCTGCTCTGTTGCTAAGCTGCAGTCTTGTGCTAAAGACTGAAGGCATCCTGCAGCAAAAACGTCCCCAAACGTTGTTCAGATCATGCAGAAGATTATTTCACAACCTAAAGTCCTAAAGCACGCACAGATATGTCGGATTTCATAAAAATATACTGTGTCATCGTTCCGCCAACAGGAGGGACGATAAAAATGTCTTCTCTTATTGGAAATACATTCTAGTTATTGATCGCTTACAAAGGAACCAAATTAAGTGGTATAAAAACGCCGTCCTTTAGTGCAAAAAAAATCTAAATGAGAGAAACGTCGAGCAGCAAATAATCAGAAATTTCTCAGATTTAAAAGCCAAAGACACCAAATTCTACAGGCACTGGATGCTGTATAAAAATACTCGAATCACAAAAAGAGGGTCGGACCGAGAGCTACGTCGCTTTAGTGGTTGTTTTGAGGTGAAACGCTGAACCTGAAAATCTCTCTAACAGAAGATCTGAGCCGAGCCGCAGCGTCCGGACGCAGAGAATCCTCCGATGGCGGCCGGAGGACGAAGGCAGCTCCGGACCAGTCTCTACCGGAGCGCTCGCCGGCTTCCTCCTAGAACCCGGTGGAGTGGACGCTGGGGATGGGGTAGAACTTGGAGATGCGGCTCTGGGTGGACGGGTTAAGGCACTCCGACTCGCCGCTCATCTTGAAGAACACTTCCTGTTCCTGCAGCTTCCTGGCAAACTCCTCCTCCAGCGCCTGCAGGACAACAAACGAGAAGAACGCGTCGGTTTTGTCGCCAGCTTCACGTCATTCACTCTGAGTTTATTGTGTGAGACGGAAAGAGGCTTCAGCTGCCAGCGTCAGCCCTCATCATTCTGTCACCACCTACTGAAGCTAACCACAAACCAAGAAGTTAACAAACTGAACAGTTAGACAGTGTTGCTGTGTGTGAGAGAGTCCCTGTGGAGTGCAGCCAAACAGATTTTCATATCCATCATGTTTTGAATTAATAATCAAGAAGATGTACGTTAAGGCAGATTTTTCGATCATGAAATGTGCAACAAGCAGGTCAACTCCTCAACTATTAAATATGATGATAAAGTAAACGGTCGCCACGTAGCTGCACGTTCAGCTGTCATCAGGGAAAAAATAACCAAATCTAANTGGCAAAATTCTGAATGACGTCTGGTGCTAGAGATGTTTGTGCAGAGGAAATAGTGTTTTCCAAAATATGAGGAGTTTTATCAAATGAAATCACGTCTTAAATTGGCCAAATTTTGAATGGGGTCTGGTGCTTGAAAGCACTGAGCTTTTTAATTTGGCTCTGGTTATGAGCTGCTGCGGAAATACTACAGCTTGTGGCATCCAGACCATAATTGCTGGTATTTAAGGCGCCTAAAGTGTCCAAGAAAACACTCCCCACATCATTACACCAGCAGCAGCAGCTGGACAGTTGAAATGAGGCCGTTTGGCTCCAGGGTCGGTCAGTTTGTTCTCATTTCTGTTCTTGGCTGACAGAAGTAGAACCGATTCTGCTGCCGGAGCCTCGAGGTTGAATCTGAGCTGTTTTAAAGAACTGAGTCAGTGTCCGTGTTCTGTCAGCTCCAAACATAAAATTAAAGATTAGAAACTTGAGTTTAAACGTGTTTTATGGAGTCAACACAGCTGCTCTCGCTGGAGGATTTCTGGTGAAAATCCAAGAGATCAGATCAGCCGCTTCAGAAACACCCTTTAAGTGCCGCCACGTGATTGGCTGATGGGACACCTGCACGAGTCGGCAGGTGTTTGTAATAAAGCGAACATCACGAGGACGAAAACAACAAATTAGACGAGAGCCTGAACTCATGAAGAGGACGAGCGGGAGGAGAGTTAACGAAGCGAACTCGTTTACTGAGAACATTCATTTAATTAGTTGATTTAATCCAGATGAGTTAGATTTTACACACATATTTACTAGAAAAATCTGTGCAAATCCAAAGTGTTTCTGCAAATTATTTATCTACCAGCACGATTTGCACATTAGTTTCTTTATTTTTCTGAAATCTAACGTGTGAGCGACTGGATTCCTTGAATTTTTCCAAATGAATGATTAAAATATTTATCTATAAAGAAGAAATAAAATTGTTTTCATAAGCCTGAAAATCTACACATTGGAGAGCCTGAATGTTTATTTTTTATTTTTATTTTTGCACATCACCCTCTGCTGCTGCATCACTACAAACTCCATTTTGTGTGACTCTAATCAGAGCTGTTGTTCCGTTTCAGGAGAATTCGCGGTGATGACGAGAAGAAGACGACGAGACGTCGGCGTCTGAGTCAGAACCAGTTTTTCTGCGAACTGAAGCTGTAATTTTTTTATGTTGTGTTTTTGTACTTGTGAGCATTATCGATCCTGTGTGGCATCCAGGGGTTTGTTTTAGTCGTCTGGTTTATTTTGTGGGACTGAATGTTTGTTTTTATACTTGGGGGGCATTTTATAATTAAGAGTATTTTTATATATAGATAGAAATGTGTGAATTTCTTGTGTGTGATCGATTCAAGAATCAAAACACCTGCGGAAGAGACGGAAGAGTTTATTTACAGCAAAAAAACTGAAAATCAACATTACACAGGCGTCTAGAAACTATACATGTATTTAAAAAAAATGCATAATGATTTCGATATGTTGTTTTTTTTTTTGTTTTGTTTTTGTCACATTCATAAATTGAGAACCAGGACTGATTTTAATTCTACAAACCTTCAGTGGAGCTTCTGTATAAATAGCTACTGAGGAGGTTTCAGTAAAAAAAGGTGCACAGCACTCCTTCTCTGCTCAGTCACTTATTAAATACCATCAACTGTCAGCCAATCAGAGAGAAAACGAGATGACAGAATGAACCAATCAGAGGTCACGATGGCCCAAACCAGTCAGGTCCATTTGTTGTTGTTGTTTTTTTCTTGTTGCATCATAATAAATCAGCCTGAATATAAAATAAAAATAAAAACTGCAAAAAGTTCACGTTGTGTTCTTTGAATACAGAAACATCTGTAACAT